TGGAAGAGCAGCCAGTGCTCTTAACCTCTGAGCCAAACATTTCTATTATTGCAGTCCATCCATTTCTGAACTCATCTTGGTGAGGGGTCATTTAGAAGTTTCAAAACGGGACTGGGAGGAAGAGTAGTAGGAGCCAAGGACTTTGACACGAGGGGAGAGTTAAAGCTGCCTGCAGCATTCATGCTGAAGCATCGTGGGAGGAAAGCGCTAAGGCAGCGGGGGTCTTGTTACGCCATGCATGGGTCAGTTAAAGGGCCCCGGCAAGGAAGGAAGTGGACCTTCCCCTGGATTGCTGCCAGGGAACATGGACAACCATACGGATGCTTTGGCGCTTAGTTTAAGAAACTATTTCCCACCTTGGCACTCCGGAGGCAGAGGCAAGTGAGTTCGAGCCAGCCTAGTCTACAAAGTAAGCTCTAGGACATTCAAGGCTACACAGAGAAACCATGTCTCGAAACACCAAAAAAAGGGGGAGGGACAGGGAGAACCTGTGTGTGTGTGTGTGTGTGTGTGTGTGTGTGTGTGTCTGTGTGTCTGTGTGTGTGTGTGTGTGTCTGTGTCTGTGTCTGTGTGTGTATGTGTGTCTGTGTGTGTGTATATGTCTGTGTGTGTATGTGTGTGTGTGTGTGTCTGTGTGTGTGTGTGTCTGTGTGTGTGTATGTGTGTCTGTGTCTGTGTCTGTGTCTCCCCTCATTGGTCCTTTAGTCGGAGTATTGATTGGGATGATCAAGTGCTTTCTGGGAGGTTCTTTGGCCAAGACACAGCCACTCAGCTCACATTTCTTGTGAGCCTGTACAAGAGGTAGACCGGTGAGAACTAGATCCTTTGCAGAGCTGACCTCCTGTCATCTTGTGTAGTCAAGTTATGCAGTGGGGGGCTGGGGACTGGCCTCGGACATCAGTAACTGTAAGGTCGCTGTAGCTGTTACAGCAAGACCTCTTCATAAGTTTTTCTGTTAAAAATGGAGCTTCAGTTTTTCTTTTTATGGATCCCATTGCTGAGAGAGGCACACTGCAGTTCTCTTGCTGTTACTAGGCTCCCTTGTTTATTTGCAAGTGGCCTGATGACAGCAGCAGACTTGATACTCTCTTCCCTTTCCACCGTGGTCATTAGCATGTGCTAACTTTGTGACTCACCTCAGAGGTGTGAATTGGGCGTTTGGGAACATCACTTCCTGGCTTGAGTTCTCCAGGTGTTGCAGCAGAAGGCATTACAAGACACCACCTGCCAGACTGACATTACCCTGACCATTCAGAAGGGTCAGTGCCTTCTGCTGGGAATGCTGTGGCTTTCCATTGTAGAGAAGTTTCTTAGGCAGTGCCTTCTGCTGGGAATGCTGTGGCTTTCCATTGTAAAGAAGTCACTTAGGAAAGAGAAAGGAGAAAAAATTAAACTGAGACTTTTGTAAGCCCACGTTTATTTGGCTTTCAGGCTTTTAGTGCTCTATTTCCACGTTTTGAGTGTGCACATCCCCACTGTTGTTACTACTGATGTTTACAAGCCTGAGCTTTAAAGAGCTAACCATGTCACCTAGTGGCTCATTTTATGGGTTAGTTCATGTCATTAAAAGACTCACTGAGTTTAGGCTCCTCTCTGATTTAACCCTTAAAATAGAACTCCAAAGAAATGGCTTACTATCTTTATAAAGGTTTTACTCTTTAGTTTATTTATAATCGGTGGGGGGCAGTGAACATGTGGCGGTCAGGGCAACTTCCTTGGAGTTTGTTGTCCCCTTCTTTATGCGGATTCCAGCCATTGAACTCTGGCTATGAGCCTGCATCATCAAAGAGCAAACCTCCACACGTTCCTCTGTCCCAGGTTCAGCTCCTTACCTTGTATCTAAGGACAGTTAGGGTGTGGAGCTCATAGCGTGGGTGTGAGAATTTCATAAAACAGTAGACATAAAGTCCTTAGAACACCATCCAACATGAGTACTTAATAAATATGGGCTGTTAAACTTTTAGTAGTAACATGATGACTTTACTCAAACTTAGTAGTGCTTATATCACAGCCGATGGCATTGGAGACGACTCAGTTCCTAATATAACTGGAAAAGAGAGTTCAGCATTGTCTAATAGTCCGATTTACTTAGTAAACTTGAACTGCCCGTATTGAAAAATAATGAGGAATATTCAAACTAGAATTACAAAGTGGGTCCTATCCAGCCAATTTTTAACAACTCATGACTAAACGTTAGCCCTTGCTAGAACAGCAAAGAAATCAGTGTGGAGGTTCCCGCATATTTGAAGTTTCCACACAGAGCCTGCAGATGTCTGCCCTGCTTTCAGGATGAGGCCTTTTCAGAGAGGCACTCATCAGCCAGGGCAGAGGCTATGTGGCAGCTGCTGCGCATGTGTTGTGGGTGGGCTCTGCAGAGAGTGATGCTGGGGATTGAGAGCTGCTTTCAAGGGACCAGTGAATTTAGAATTGGCTGGTGCCGGCTCATACCCAACTTCTGCCATCTTTGCTGTGTGGCCTCAAGTTGGGTTGTTTGGCATTTCAGAACCCTTCTTTCCCCAGGTAGAAAAAAGTGCTACAGTGTAACTTAACCCCTTCAGTAGGGGAGGGTCATGCTTTAAAACATACATGGATGTGTTGTAGCAAAAACAGCATTGATAGGACTTATGTTCTTACTAATCCTATTGGCATCTGGTTATTATAAAGAAAAATGAAATGGCCATCAGGAAGAACGGTGGGTCCCAGGCACTATGTGATAGCCGGTATGCCATCAACTCTAGTACAAGACAAATGTCACCAGAGTGACAATACTCAACCTTTCTCCTACAAAAAAAGAAGTCTTATCCCAACTCAGATGCTATTCTTGCTCCTCAGCAGAGCTACTAGTGCTAGCGACAAAACATAATGCAACTTTCTGTTGTACTTTGTTTGCGTTTAGGTGAATTAATGGACAAAGGTAAAAACTAGTTAGGTTATAAGCCAATTCAAATCCATATTATACCTTGGCAGCTTTCTGTTGCTCAGAGGCCAGCAGGCCTCCTAGGCCTTGGTGAACTGGTCTCTGTCTCCTCTGCTTCACACGCTTCTGCACTTTTCCGCTCAACTCTCATGGCTTTAGGGTGCCTCCCCCTGCCTGGGCTAGCCCTTTCTCCTGCCAGATCACTTGTCATTAATCCTCCAACGTTAGTATCTCTTCCACCATGAAGTCTCCCAGAGAAATAATCACCCCCCCTTCATCCTACACCAGTACATTTACAGCTCACTCTGTGCAGCACTTTGTCCCTAGGCCAACATGCGCTGCTAGACCATTGGCTGTGGAGATGCAGGCACCACGTTGGCTGCACCCCAGTGGGCCCTGGAGGGCCACAGTGCTGGCATTGAAGTGGATGTCTGGTAATGTTTCTAAACTTCTCGTGAAGTTGAGTGCCTCAACAGCCAGACAGTCTTCTCTTTCGCATTCCACCCAAATTCCAAATAAATTCCAAATTACTGAAGACAGAAGTTGCTCTTCAGTCCTGTGAGATGGTTTAGCCGGTAAAGGCACTTGCTGTCAAAGCCTTATGGCCTGAATTTGATCCCCAGGATCTACATGGTGGAAGGAGAGAATGGACTTCTATAAGCTGTCCTCCGACCTTCACACATGCCTTACAGTAGGTGTGTGCACACTCACACAAAGTAAATGTAATTTTAGGAATAACGTACAGTAGCCTTTTTCTTTATATTATTATTATTATTAAAGTGCTGGCGGTCAAACTCAGAGCCTTGTGCCTGCAAGACAAACACTCTACCTTGAGAACTACCCTCAGCCCTAGGCAGCAGCCCTTCTAAGTTAAAATTATTTGGGCTTGGCACATCTAGCCCTCCAAAATATGCTAGTGAGGCCTGCTTCATAGAACCCATGGGGAATTCATAAGCCACAATATGTGCTATAATGAAGAGATGTAAAAATATGACCCTTAGATTAAACTGTTCTGTTCCCTGTTGCCACTTGGTTAAGTTTGCATAATAAACAATATTCATTCTGTTATTTAAGAGTAAAGCAAGTCTGTATAAAAATTCTTGTTCACATAGTATAATTTTCTTATGCCATAGTCACAACTGTGGAGTGACAGCAAAGACTGAAGACTTCCTTCTGAGTACCAAAAGGACTGTTTATGGGTGAAAAGGACAGCCCTGGGTCTCTGTCTCTCTGTCTCTCACACACGCACACGCACATTCAGACTCTAAAATTTCAAGGTTTCAAACAGAGTGCATTAATAAAAATATGAGATGCTTTTTCTTGTGTAAATCACCGTGAAGCTCTGAGAAATAAAGGAAGAACCAAGTCTTATCATCTGCTGCTCTCAAGTGAAACCTGTCATGTTGACTCCCAACTCAAATGCGTACTTTTAAAGAAAGCCAAAGCTTGTATCCTGCCTCATTGACAACAGCCTCAAACTGTTCCCTGTCATCGAAGAAAACAAATCTTTTGCTCATTTCTGCCTGGGGGGAGGCAGAGGGATGAGGTGGTCCTGTGTGGCTGAATTAGATGAAAGACCTCCCTTCCGCCATGGAGACACAGAGTCTAATCAAGTGAAATGAGTTTTGAGATCGCAGCTCATTTCCTAGGGGAGATCAGTTCACATTACAGAATCGCGACATCTCATTCATCACAGCCGATGTGGTCTTTGCTCAGGAGAGGACCCCAACTGGGACTAACCCACCTGTCTTCCCTCAAAAGGGGGCACTTTGCCCAAACTAGAGTGGAGGCCTTGAATGAAAGGACCTGTCAGCCACTGGGTCCCGCCCACGTGGGGCATTGCAGCTGGGAAGGGAATTTAGGTTTAAACGGGGGTGGGGTGGGGGGTGAGGGGGGGGTTGTAACTTCAATGTTGCTTTATATAAATAATCATTAAGGTGACATTAATGTGATGGTAGTGGAGCCATCTTTTTCTCCTCATTTTGTTAAACAGGAGTAAGATGACTAGCATTCCCTCCAGAACTGGAGGAGGAAGTATGCTTTCTAGGCCAACAAATGATCTTATCTCTTCTCTTTCTTACAGGGCATCATTGTAACACCGCTGCTGTTGCTGCTTTTCGTGAGTATTTCGATGTTGCCTTTCATATCTTTTCTGATATTAAATGCCGTCCGCCAGTCCACAGACGTGACTCAGTGGGATGGTGTCCCTAGCATGCGCAAGGCCCTCCCTGCATTTGCATCCTGGCACCATGAGAGGGGGAAAAGCCTCCTTTAAACCTTCAAGGTCAGTCTTTAGAATAACACCAAAATCTGGGTTCTTTTGTACAGGTTGGTGATACATTGGAGCCTGCTCCCAGCAGAGCCCAGAGTATTAACCCTGAGACAACAGAAAATCCCACAGCCTGGTAGTCCAGGGACCATGTGGTCCCAGTGATTAAGCCTCCAGCTTCTGGGTAAACCACTAGTTATCATGAACCAGTGACCTGTGGCGTGGATCACACATGTACTACTCATCATTATTTTCTTTGTAAAGCTAAGTGATTAACAGTGACCCAATGTTGGATGGTTTTTAAGAAAAAGAACCTCAAGCTAGGGGATCTGAGGCAGCTGAGATCCCAAAGCTGGTGTTTCCTGCAACTCCTCCCTAATCCTGGGAGCACTGCCACAACCGCGCCATTTGTGAAGTGGGAAACTAGAGATTAACAGAAACTCCTAATGAAGTCACCTCTGAGGGACAACTAAATGTGCCATAAGGGGGACAAGGTCAGAACTACAAGTAGGCACAGGGTAACTCTGCAAAAGTTGTTCTGCAAACAAGAAATGCTAATTAACTGTCTCATGTCCTTTGGCACTAAGCATATGAGAAATTAGATGAAAGATTATAATAGAAATTAATGTTATCTCATGCTGAGCAAAGCATATGTAATCATAAATGATACCTAAAATATTTTATGAACTGTGCAGTTTTTCCACACACATCTTCCAAATATAAATCACTCCACTTATCAAGGAAATGTAGTGGGATGCGTGTCTGGGAATGAAATGAAGCCGTTTGACTAGCACTATTTGTCAGTGAATTAAAACTATGGGGAAAATTTATTTAATTATAGTATAATTACCCAAGTTGGAATTCAATTAGAGTAATAGAGTGAGGGACTTGATTCCTTGCCAGCTGTGTAGGGAGGAGAAAAGGCTAGATATACTACCAAACAGTTGGATTCTGCATCTTTCATGAAAGCCTTTACCTTCAAGTAATAAGCCACGGCCTCACCTTGCTTTCTGTAATGCCAGCTGCGCTCTGCCAAGGTCAGAAGAGTCCAGTCAGATGACTTCCCTCACAGAACGGACCTCATGCATTTGGGCTCCTGCCATTCAGGATGGGCAGTGAGTCACATTATTTTCATTCCGTCAGGAGAAATGGCTTGCTCTGTGCCTCCCTGCAAGTTAGATGTAAGAACTACAGTTATCTAGTAGTGTTTTGGGCCAAGATTTGGCATCCCAAAAGGAACTTACCAGAGCCCTCTGCGGGCACAAAATGCAAGCTAGTCTGAGAGTCTCAGGGCAGGCGTAGCACCCACCGCCTAGCGCATGTGCAATAGTAGGCTGCCTAGCCTAGGTCTTATACATTACCAAATACGGAAGCCTGCCTTACTCCTGTGACTGAGTCAAGAAGAGCTGGTGGGAGGGCGGGTATCTTGCCGTGGAAGCTTGGGGACTGGAGTTTGAGCTCTAGAACCCATGTAAAAAGCACGATGTGGAGACACACGCTTGTAATCCCAGTGCCCATGGGGCACATCCTAAGCCTCACTGGCCGACCAGCCTGACCAAACTAGGGACAATAAAAAGACCCTGTCTCAAAACGAGAAAGGTAGAGCACAGCCAGGAAGGACTCTGATTTGGCCCCCGCAGTGTATGCACACACATGCACAGCGTGGGGACAGAGTTCCAGCCACAACTAGGGGGTTGAGACCTAGGATGAGAGGTACCCTATTTTGATTGAAAACACGAAGGGAACCTACCCTTACTCCCCTGTCCATCTGCTTGTCCTAACAAGACAGTTTTGCACTGATGAGTGTTTTTACATCAGCTTTCCTCCACTCGGAACTGTGGGCTTGTGAACATCAGTTGCTTTGACAATTTAACGTGGCAAGATTCTAAGAGTAGTGAAGGCCCTCAGAGCCCCTCAGCCAGAAGCCCCATGCTCCCTTCAGAGCAGCGGGCTCTCCCTGGTGGTTCAGAGGCATCATCCCACATCAGTAGCTGCATTTAGCTTGAGTTCGTGGTGCATGTTCTTTTTGTCTGTTTGGGTTATCATATATTTTATAATGAGAATTTATAAGACACTTGGGTTCCAAGTCTTATTTACTGAGGTGTACAAATAATTGGGAGATTTAGAATACAAACACATTCCAGAAAAGCTATAAATTCTTTTTCTCCACCTCTATTAGGGGCCGTGTTGTTGCTCTCAGGAAGGTTTGTTAAAAGTCCTAGCCTGCAACATACCCAGACATGGCCTTATTTGAAAACAGCCATTGCAAATGGATTAGTTCAGATAAGGTCATACTGGAAGAGGGTGGGGCCCTTAATCCAATATTATTAGTGTCCTCATAAAACAAAGAGACAGAGTTACACAGGGTGAACCCCATGTAGCAGTGGAGGCAGAGATTAGAGTACAGAATCTAAGCAAAAGGAACACCAGGCACTGCTAGTTGTCTTTGGGATCTAGAAGACACAACAAGATATTCCTAGCCACGTTTCTGAGGAAACACCTGACTTCAGACCCACAGCCTCCAGAGCTATGAAGCAGTGTTTCTCTTGGTTTAAGCTGCCTGGCTTGTGGATTCTTAAAGCACCAAACAAGCTAATAGGAGCCCTGGAAATTACCTTAGCGTATTTTAAAAATGGAAGTTGCTTGGTATTCCAACACATTGCTAAGGAGTGTGACTTTCTAGAGAAGTCTTAGTTCCTGTGTTACTTACCTCAGAATACCCCCGTCACTGTCTTGCTGCAGCTGAAGCCTGTCCCTGACTCATTTCTGCTGCAAACGTTTCCCGCCATGGAGGCTTGCAGTGAAGTAAAGCATCCTTACGCCCCGTCTATCGCTGTTCCAGGGCACTTCCCGTCTTCTGTGTAAGCGTCTACTTCCCTTGGAGGCTGCACCGTGTATCCACACTCTGCTCTCCCTCCTTGTCATACTGTAGCGTCCCCAAGTTCTTCTCTCAGGCCCGAACTGCACAGCCTCTGTCTGTTGCTTTCCGCTCAGTGCTGCACGGGGACTCCTCACTGCTGTTTTCAGGGTTCACATAGTTGACCTTCTAGTAACCTAAATTTGGAATTCCAGACCTCAATCTGAACAAGTTTACCTTCCCTACATCTCAGCTCCCTACCCCAGTAATCAGACCAAATTTTCCAATGTTCTATCTGACCAGTGGCTCCCTGTATGCATGCTATATGCCCAAATCCAGAAGTTTCCTTACGTGGACATTTTCACAGTGCCTGTGACTGTGCCCACCTTGCATTCATCCCTACACTCTCTCCCCTCAGCCCCACGCTCTGTGGTTAGGGTCCCTTTATTCCAGACCACATCAGCAATCTTGTTCATCCATGCTTGCCACAAGTCACTGGTCGGTCCTGCAGGCGTCCAGCTCTTCACCGTTGTGCCCATGAACCTGAACATGCTCGAGCCATCTTCAGTGTGGTAACTCATGCTCCTACATGAGTTCATGACAACTTTCACATTTTCTTCTTAGCATCTCAGATCTCTAATGCCCCTCTTCGTATCAGCTAATGCAGGAAGGAAATTAGATGAGAAACAGAAATTACATCACACACACACCCTCCCCTCACCGGTCACAATAGTCCTTCTTTGTGTTTCTGCTGGGTTTGTGAGTAGATTGTCTTTGTTCTAACCTAAGTTCCGTCCTCTTATGGTCTATTTAATGTCTTAGTTCATGCACATTTCCTCTTTTCTTCTATATAATCAAATTTTCTCTTATATAATCATTTCTACTAATGTATTTTATAACATATTTCTTTTTGTTGTTGTTTTTGTTTGTTTTGTTTGAGACAGGGCCTCTCTGTGTAGCTTTGGAGGCTGTCGTAGAACTTGCTTTGTAGACCAGGCTGGCCTCAAGCCCATAGAGATTCACCTGCCTCTGCCTCCCAAGTGCTAAGATTAAAGACGTGCGCCACCACTGCCTGGCAATATATATATATATATATATATATATATATATATATATATATATATATAGTATCCCACCTCATCCCACTCCATCTTGTGTTAATAAAGTGTTACTTCAATCTGCTTATTGCCTATTTGGCAGTGCAAACTGAGTTCTTATGTGCCAGGAACTGTCTTCTGCCATGGATAGAGCGGTAAACAGAACAGAGGTGTTGTTACTACCATGGTGGTTATGTTGCAGTGGAAAGAAACAACTAAGTAAACATGCAGTGTGTATGATATGGGACAGTGCAACAGAGAGAAGAAAACAAGGGGACCAAGATGGCAGAGTAGGGAACAGGAGGAGCTTGCTGTTTTCATTAATAACTTCACAGTCAGTGAGAACGTAGTATCTGAACAAAAAATAAAGAATTAAGCGTTCTGATGTCACCAGTACAGCCAAAACCAAATCATGTAAAACCAAAGACTTGGAGTTTAATTTGAGAGGAACTGGAAATAACTGAAAGAATGTTGATAAAGGGAATGGCATGCTCTGATGTTTGTTTTTCTGGAATGGCTCTCACTATGTAGCCTAGGCTAACCTTGAACTCTTGTCCTCCAGCCTCAGATTCCGAGTGTTAGGATTATAGGTGGGCACCAGCATCATTGGCCCAATGATTCTGGACACTGGGTTGAAAATATCTAGGTTATAAGAGGATGATGGTAGGGATAGGGTGACCATTGTAAGGCAAGACAGACTATTAGTTTAGACCAAAGTAGCCGAAAGTCTGGTAGGAAGTAGTTGAAATACAGAACTTGATCGAGTGGAGCCAAGCCTCTGCAGTGTTGGAGATACCGCTTATAATATAAGGCAGAGTGTGGAACTAGATCGCGCTGCCTTCAGGTCTCCAAGCAAAAATATAGATAAACAATTGATTGCACGAATCTGTAATTCA